TTTCAGTTATTAAAATTTTGCGTTAATTTAATTTTAGTTATTGCACTATTTTAAAACAATTTTTTATTTTGCACTTTTAATTAAAAACACGTTATTTTAATTTTTTAAATTTTAGTTATTTAAATTCTGCTTTAATTTAATTTTAATTGTCGTTAATATTCTATAATAATTTAATTTTTATTTTTATTATTCTCGCATCAATTTATTTTTTTCACTCTTTCATTCATCCCTTGTCTACTGTTATTTACGGTTTTAGAGATAATAATATGTGGTAATGAGTACATTTCTATAATTGTGTCATTGTGAAATTCGACGAGATTAGATATACTTGCATTAGTTTAACAATTTATTTATTATTTTTTATAGTATTTTGTGTGACCAAAATGTTGTTGTCAATGTTATCATTCTCCTTCCCATCATATATAACAACGAGTGTGATTTTTCATGAAGATACAATATATTTTTCTTCTAAGTCTGATTTTTAGCGAGGTATCAACAAAAAAATTAAAAAGTTCATATTTTAGAGTATAACATATAAATTCTAGAGTATAATATGAATTGTCGCCGCTGTTAAAAGAGGCGGTCGGAGCGATGCGATGGTTTTGATATGACTCGCGTTTTTTGAAAGATGTGGTTCAACGCCTTTAGGCTGTCTGATAACCGGGCTGGACCTAAAGACGAAGTTTTCGAAAAGGTTCGAGGAGTCGTCATTAGTGTTTTAACCTTAAACACTAAAAAAGGTAAAGAAAAATAAGAAGGCAGTGGTTTTAGAAAAAAACCAACTTTGGCCATTACAACCAGAGTCGGGTAAGGGAGTTAGTTACGTGTGGGGAAGGTGTTAGCACTCCACAACACCCCTTTCGGATTTCCTATGATGGACTAGCTTAGAAAATAAACACTTAAAGAAATTATGCTTTTACCCTATTATTCTATCTACTTGCAAAATTTAAATATCTACATGACCCTATTATCTAATGCATACAAAGAAAGCGATAAAGAAAGCAGTAAAAGATACACTGAATAGAGAAGGAACCTCCGAAGCAAACTTTATATTAACTCTTCGAAAACTTGAGGACGCTTTTTGGAAGTCCCCGCACTCTACAAGCACGCTCCTCCCATAAAATAAAGAAAATTCACTCTACCGAGGGTCGGACGTCTAAAAAAGAGACTTCCTTAACCGATTTCAACTTTAACGGAAATCGGAAAGCTCACTCCAACCCCGGAATAATGCTCGGGGTCACTCTAAAGTGCCAAAAGACTTCCTAGAAAGTGGTAGGAGTGAAAATGTGTGTAAATTCGAAGAATGAGAGCTCCTATTTATAAGGAACCGGGCCTAGAAAAGGTGGACGACCGTCTGGACTAAGTGGACGGTCATCCATGGCAAAAAGGGACCATGGACGGTCATCCATGTAGAGTGGACGCCCGTCCATGGCCTTAAAGTTGCCATGAACAGCCATCTGCTTGTCCTGGATGACCATCTGCCTGTTCTGGACGACCATCCGCTTGTCCTGGACGGCCATCTACTGTCTCCGGCGGATTTCCCGATTTTTAATGCCTCTAAAAACCCTTCCTATCTTAAATGGAACCTAGAACAAGCTACTAGGGACTTAGTCTTGACCATCTTCGAAACGGACGATCTTCGGCTTTACTAAAGAGCCGGACGAGATTTGGGGTCTACATGAATGAAGGAGATGTAATTTTATATCATCACCCTTTAGAAGAAGGAACTGACATTAGAGCATAATTATAAGAATCTTTTACTAGAAATAACATTAGAGCTTCATATGAATATCTTCCTAGAGATAATATCGAAGTCACATGAATCTCTTGCAGTTACATAAACCTCTAAATGAAAATAGAATTGAAGTGTCACATGAATCTTCTAATGAAAATGTTACAAATAATTTATTGGTAAAAAAAATATTTATTAAATACTCTTACTTGAGGTATTATTCTTAAACTTACTTAATATAATTCTTTAGTAAAGTTAAATACCCTTTGAGTCACTATCTATCTAATCATACGCCGATAGAAATAAATAAAAATATTTATAAATTAGTTATTTGTTGTACTTATTCCTAACAATTTGCATGAAGTTTTAGTTTATTTAGGATAAAAAATCGCTATAAACAAAGACATTAATTTACTTTAAAAGAATGATACTTAGATTTTGGTAAATTATTTACCAGGAAAAAAACTAATAGAATGTTGGTGAATTTACACTATTAGATACAAAACAAATGGTACAATAAAAAGATATAAGGTAAGATTAGTGACAAAAGGATATACTAAAGGATACGAGATTAATTATATAAAGACATTTGTTTTTGTAGCAAAACTTAACATTGTTTGAATATTATTATCTTTGGTAACAAATTTGGATTGGTCATTTGTTGTAAAAAATATATTTTTACATGGAGAATTAATTAAAAACGTGTGTAGATAGAACTCCCACCAGGTTACATAGTACTTAAAAAATACAGGAAAATGCATGCAAATTAAAAACATATATTTGTATGGATTGGAACAATTTCCACAAGCATGGTTTGAAAGATTTACAAAACCTATAACATTATTTGTATATCATTAAAGTAATTTAGATAATATTTTATATTTTTGAGGAAACAAAAATATAAGATAACTATAATTGTTGTATATGTGAATGATATGATTGTTACATAAAATGATTAAAATGAAAGTAAAACACTACAAGAGTATTAATCAAATGAGTTTGAAATGAAAAATCTTGGTTCCTTAAAATATTTTATAGGAATTGAAGTATCTACATCCAAGAAAATAATTTTTTTTTGTCCAAGAAAATATGTCCGATACTTGTTATAAGAAATATGTATGTTAGTTTGGAGCCGGAGCCAAAGAATACGTAATAAGTGAAAATTTAAAGTTATTTACTACATTCAATCAAGTATCAAGTTGATAAACAAAGATATCAAAAAGACTTGTAAGGATATTAATGTACTTGACACATAGAAGATCAAATCTTACTAATGTACCAAGTGTTTCAGATCAATTTATGCATAATCACGGAGAACAACATATAAATGCGATTATGCACACTTTAAGATATTCAAAATAAATAGCTAAAAAATAACCATTGTTGATAAAAAATATAAATGATTAACAAATAAATGTATATACTAATATTGATTAATAGATTATTAGAAGATAAACAATTAACATAAGGTAAATGTAGATGGTAATCTTAATGGTAAAGCTTTTTAGGAGATGACCCCAAAAAATTTTATAACTTACATAAGCATTTATAATTTTAACTTCTAAACTTAAATGATTATTAAATATATTTGTATATTACAAATTTAACCTTACATTTTCATATTCTTTCATTTTTTTATATTCATTTATTAATAATATATTATTTTATTCACTAAAAATCAATAATTAAGATCTGTCACTAAGTAATTTTATTAAATAGAAAAAGTAAAAATAAAGTGTGATTTCTCACTCAAGTATAGACTTTTGTGAATTTTTATTATTAAAATTCGTTTTGCAATATATTGAATACTTTATTCACACAACCTAGAACTATAGTATAACAATAAAACTACTTATGATAATGACGATAATTCAATAGATTTTTTATATAAAAAATAAAATTATATAAGAGATAAATACCATATCGAATAAAATATTATTAAAATATATTGTCTAAAATTTATATACCTCCATTGATAATTTTTTTTTACAAAATATTAGTACAAATTATATATTATTTAATTAAACGTTAATATAATTATAAAATATTATAAATTTTTAATAACTTAATTAAGTAGACATATTCATGTATATTTTATTGTTAAAGTAATAATAATAATTTTATATTCTTTATAAGAAATGAAATGATTGATATTTTGGAAATGATTCTTGAAATATCATTTGTTTCTTTTCTTTTTATGTTAGTGGTTAATGTTTGATTTTATGTTTAGGAAGTTGTTATACATGTAATTATTTCACTTTTTTTTTAATCTCTATAGAAATTTATATTGGTGGGTTGTTTATGTATTTAATATTTTTAGGAAGAAATTTTATAATAAAATTTTTAAATACATAATATTTATAATAAAATGATAAATGATTTTATATGTTTTTTAATGATTATTAAAAACTTGCTTGTCTATTTATACTAGCTATTTAATTTAATATTATTTTTGGTTGTATTGATATTTTTATAAATAATCTAGTTGTTTAATTTCATGATATTATTTAAAAAATAATATATATATATATATCAGATAATATATTTATAAAAAATAAATAATGTAGAATTTTATATATATTATAGAAAATATCATAAAATTAAATAATTATATTATAAAAAAAATTGTTAAACATACAATCTAACTAATACCTAATATAAAGATTTTATCCATGTATATAATTATTAAATGTTGAACAAAAATGCGTCTTCCAGTAATGACAATACAAATTTTATTTTATGAAAACAAAACAATAATTGGAATTTTTTAGAAGAGTAACTTATAAATTTTTACCATAATAATTATTATGAAAGTAGTATCTCTTTAAACTTTTTATGATTTTTATATTTTAATAGTGTAAAATGTATATAAAAGTTGAGAATTTTAATTAAACACTTTTTAAAATAAAGATTTAAGTCTTATTTTATCATAACAGAAGAATATTCAGCACTTCGCGGAGCATCAACCTTAACAGTAATTTTATCATTAATAATTTTAAAAGTTACAACTCTTCATATTTATCATGGTTTCAGAGTATTGAACGGTGAAAAAAAAAAAAAGCGTGCAGAAATGAAATTCTTTAATATATCATAAAAAATAATTAATTTCCTTAATTAATGAGTGAAGTAAATATACTGGCTATTACTACTATACAAGTAAAATCCGCGTGGAGATTACAGTCCCAAAGCGGTGACGGAGTTCAACCTTTTGTTTTGACCGCAGTAACCGCCGTTGTAATTGCCGACCACTATTTCGGGGGTGCCGTTAATGTCTGACGCTGAAGAAGGCTCCACCAATCCGCGGCGATGGAAGTTCCAGTTCTTCGTCCGCATGGTGTGGCCGGAGCGCAACTTGGTGATGACCGCTTACCCGGAAGAGACGGTAAAATCGGTCCTTGCGCAGATCGCGTGGGTGACGGGAATGCCACTGAAGGAACTGAGAGTGATATACAACGGAAAACAACTTCAATTGGAGAAGACTCTGGAAGAGTGCGGAATCGAGAACGATTGCAATCTCAACATCGTTGGTCGCTTGCGCAGCGGATTGTACCCCGCGGCGTCGCACACTATCGACTGCGTGCTCTCCCTGCTCGGCCAAGTGTGGACCTGCAACACGCAGCGCTCATGCGAGGCCTTGAACACCTTGACGGGTCTTATCACGCGCTATTTCAACCTTCCTGGTTTCGTTGAGCTTTTCGCGGCCTCTAATGCCCCCGCGATGCTTGTCGCGGTCTACAACAAGCCTTGTGGTGCGCGTACCGGGAAACTCGCCGAGTCTTGCATAACCTATTTCCTGAGTTGTGCGCGCGCGAAGAACTCGCAGAGTGTTTCCAGTGGCGCGGTGATGGAGTTTTGCAAGCAGCTTAGAAAGATTGGGCGTGGACGCGATGACCATTTGTACGTTTCGTGTAGAAACACTTTGGGGCATTTGTTGGAGACAATTGGGGTTTCCTATGGTTCTGGGAGTGTGAAAAAGAGGGTTTCGCTTCACGATGTTTTCTCCTTTGTTCCTGAGCTTGCGGATAGGTTGTTAATGGGTTTGGATAATAGTAAGCAGTGTAGAAACATCACAAGGCCTTCCCTGGGAGATGTTTTGGATTTTAAAACATTTTTGGCCCCTTTGAGGAATCAAATTATTCTGCAGCAGCAATTGTTGAGGGGTTTTGTGAGTGGGGATGGAAACTGTAGCGTGGAGAAGGATGATGACCAATTGCTTGCGGAAGAAGTCGATTATCTTCGGCTTGTGTTTCTTCGGTTGTTAAGCACAATGGATGAATGCTTTAACTGCATGGCGGAATGCATGGTGGACAAGGAACCTGGTGGGAAGGGTTTTGTTCTCTATCCATCATGGTCTATGTATCTTCGTATTTTGAAGGAGTTGTATGATACTTCTAAGGTCTTTGATGGTGCAGAGGAAATGTTTTGGACAATTTTGAGGTTACATAAGAATATGCTGTCTGCGCTTGTTGTTGGGTTTGTGAGGATAGGAGATGAGCATCGGTGGATTCTTGATAACAGGAGTGTGACCACTTTTGAGTGTAGGAGGCATTTGGCGATGGTGCTGTTCCCCATTGAAAGAGAAGACTTTGACATGTTTCATGAGATGCTTATTGACAGGTCTCAGGTACTGGCGGAGTCTTTTGAGTACATAGGAGGGGCGAAGCCTGAGTCTCTGCGTTCTGGTCTGTTTATGGAATTCAAAAATGAGGAAGCTACAGGACCGGGTGTGTTGCGGGAGTGGTTTGTTTTGGTGTGTCGTGGAATATTTGATTCACGACATGCTCTTTTTGTGGCTTGCCCGAATGACTGCAGGAGATTTTATCCGAATCCTGGTAAGTTTTATCTGGAAAGTTAAATTAATGTTTATTCTCGTGCTTCTGAGTATTTTCAAATAGTCGCAATCTCTCTTGAATAGGTTGAGCTAGTGTTTAGGGGGTAAAACACCTGTGCAAATAAGAGAAGTAGATAGCTAAAACAATTCCCACTGACTTCTTTGTAAATGGCATCTTGCTTGAAAGTTATAAAAAAAAATTGTGGAAATGAAGTGCTAGCTGTTGACTTCATCTGAAGGGTAGGAAACTTAGGGGTATACCCGCATAGTTTAGTTGAGAATAGGTCTTATTTGTCTATCATTAGCAATGGTTTCTCTGGCATGTAAAGTTGATTCACTAACCTTCATCTTTTGAAGGGGCTCCATCAGGTAAAATCTCTTTTTTCTTTCTGAACAGTACTTTACTTCGTCATTGCCTGGTGTAATGCGACACAGCAGAAAAGCTTAAGAGTCCAGACTTGATCAATTAAAGGTTATTAGAAATTGATTGATGTAGTCATTCGTAATGTATTTGCCCATTTACTGTCTGCTTGTGGTATTTGCCCATTTGCTTGCTTTCCCACAGAAATGCTAATAAAAATTTTCCATAATATTTTTTTGTTGATTTTGGCTCATCTAAACAGAGATGTGTTAGTGAAATCAACAATTTCACCTAAAAGATTTGGTAAACGTGATCGGCTTTGAATCAGTGGTAGATAGACCATAGCTTTGTGATTTTACACATTTCTTCATGTAGACAGGAAAAGCTCTCCATTTTTCACTCTAGGTCAACATCTCTACCCTCAAGCATGTGAACTGAGATAAATTTTCTCATCAGTATTAATGTTGTCTTCTCCTATTCTTATTAGAGTCCAATCATATTAGCCTCATTCATTAATTTTATTTTAGCCATACTCATTTAAATTAATATTACTGTTGGAAATGTTACAGAAATTTGACAAATCATTGATTTTGTTTCCAATCGTTTGTTTGATGAAATGAAGGTTAATCTTTCTCTAGTTTTGAAGTATATAGATTCCTCTTTTGTTATTGCTATTTTTTCATTACAATAAGTTTATAAAATTTTGATACCTTGTCTTTGGGGAAGGGGAGGGAGGTCATCATTGGTCAATCGAACCAACCTGACCCTTTTTTTTTCCTAAAGTTATTTGGATATTCAGGTTAAGGCAGATTAGAAAGGGAACCCTGATGAACCCTACCATAGTTACTTGAGCTCCCCCCTCTTTATTTTTTTCTATTATGTGAAATCTAAAAGTTATTCATATTAAATCATGATTAAGATTCTGATATTTTAGAAAGTCAAGGTTTAGCTTTCTGCATGTCCATGAATTGTTATACTTATGTATGGTTGTGTTTTCTAGAAAACTAAACTGTAGTCGTTCGCATCATTACCAATATTCTGCATCGTGTAACATGCCCAATCATTAGCATTTTGTCTCTAAACTTAACTTCCTATTAGTTAATACTAGGTACTATGGTCGCCTAGTCAGTCTTGAGTACTGATGATGTGTTTGGCTATATAGTTGATATTGTTTGTCTACTTGTCTGCAGCATCTAAGGTACATCCTCGGCACCTTGAGTACTTTAGGTTTGCTGGTCGGGTAATTGCATTGGCTTTGTCCAAAAAGGTGCAAGTTGGTATCGTCTTTGATCGTGTATTTTTCATGCAATTGGCTGGAATTCATGTTACCTTAGAAGATATACGGGATGCAGATCCATACTTGTATAGAAGCTGCAAGCAAATATTGGAGATGGATGCCAATTTCATTGATTCAGATGCATTAGGACTGACATTTGTTAGAGAGGTGGAAGAATTAGGATGCAGGAAAGTAGTTGAGCTTTGTCCTGGTGGGAAAAGCCTTGTAATGAATAGTCATAACAGGGAGCATTATGTTGATCTTCTTATACAGCATTGTTTTGTCAAATCCATATCTGAGCAGGTATCAAATTTTGCCAAGGGTTTTGCTGATATTCTTTCCAGCTCAAAGGTTCAAGAGTTCTTCCAACGTTTAGAGCTTGAAGATCTTGATTGGATGCTGCATGGGAGTGATAATACAATCTCTATTGAAGATTGGAAGGCACATACCAAGTACCAGGGCTATGAAGAGTCTGATTGTGAGATATCATGGTTTTGGGAGGTGTGTAGGATACTGTTCTTCCCTTGTTTTTTCTTTTTATTATATTTTTCTCCTGTTCTTCCTTTTTGCAGATTCCTGTGCTAATGTAATTTTATTACACTTCTTTTAACATTCAATAACATAATAATCAATTCCCCTAATATACTTTTGTTTTATAAGCAGAAATTGCTTTATTGGGCAGCAGTTATCTGCTGCATGGTGTCCTATATGTTTGTCTCTGTTTCCATTTTGTCTAGTGTAGCAAAAAGGTTTTTATTGCCTCTTTGCATTTTGGAAAAGCACCACTGTCTTGGCTACTTATGAAGTTCTCCCCCTTTCCACCAAGACATTGTTTGCTTTGTTACTCCTTAAAACCACTATTGAAATCTACTTTCCTAACTTATCATGAATCATGTTAGAGCTCTTATTTAAATTAATCCTTTCATCTAGATCTCCTTGATTGGTAGAGCATTTAATGTACTATGTTATGTTCAATTTTCTCCAATTAGTTCAGTCATGTCTCCATATAGTTTTTGTGTTATGAATCATGATTTTGATACTTTAGTTTACAAAAGGAAAATAACAGTGCAACTTTCCTCTGCTGAAACCTGATTAATAAAATTGTGTTACTGGTTATCATCAGTTTGAACACTAATTTAGATAACATGTAGTTTTCCAACATAATGAATCAACTGTTTTCATGTTGAATTGCAGAATCATGTTAAAATCTGTTAATGCAATGGTGAATTCATAGAAATGCTGGAATGTAGTAGTTCCACATTTTTTGACATGCAATAATCTGAATGATAAGTTCTCCTGTCTTCTTATTACTATTTACTATTGCTTGGAATCTCGTTTTAACTGAAAGTATCGCGTTTATTGAATCCTCCGAAATTTTTTCTAAGAACTCATAATTTCAACATCTGATTGGTGACGCTAAGTTGTTATTTTTTAATATAATATTTTGTGGAAAAATTTCGCAGATTGTTGGGAGAATGTCAGCGCAACAAAGGAGGGTTCTGATTTTCTTTTGGACATCTGTGAAATATTTACCAGTTGAAGGATTCCGTGGTTTGCCTTCCCCTCTATTCATTTGCAGGACTACGGAACCAAGCAATCGCCTGCCCTCATCTCACACATGTTTTTACCAGCTGTGTTTCCCCCAGTATTCATCTATGGCTGTCATGCATGATCGATTTGGAGTCATCACTCAAGAACACATTGCTTGTAGTTTTGGTACTAGTTAAATACACCTACAATCTGGGTGCTAGTGGTTTTGACTGCATATTGGAGAAATATCGGTTCTCAATCTTGTACATATTATAGGGTAGGATAGGATTATTTATCTCAAAATAATAAAGTAAAAAGGCTCTCTGGTTATGTTTCTCATATCAATTCTGGATGTCATTGATCTTCTGTCACATGTTTTTATATATGTCATTTGTATGTGGTCATTCTGACAAGAGTTATTATACATGGACAACCCATTTTAAAATACAGTCAATCAACTATTCTGTTTATTAGTATTATAGCCATAGAATGATTTAATTAAAATAAAATAAATTAAAAACTATTATTTTATTATTTTAAAATACATTCAATCCACAAAATTTGATGTAACTATCAGAAAACTAACCGAACACAACGTAAAAAATTTGATGTATTTTTTTCTTATTTATACACCCATCTATTTCTGTCCTTCATTTTTTAATGATTTACCTTTCCAACCCTGTAATGTTTTCGGGACATGATTACAAATAAGAAAATTGTCACGTTGTTTTTTGTTAATACCTATGTCAGTATACTGGCTATTTGATGAAAGATATATATTACTTTGCAATATTAAAAGTTTACTGTGGAAGATAAATAGTTAAAAAACGAAACATTATATTGTAAAAACAACAATATAAGTTATAAAGTAAATAGTATTTATTCAAACCTAAAGAAACGAAGTAAACACACCATCACAAAAACATTTAACCCTGCCAATAAACCATCACTTCTAAACTCCAGCACCAGCAGCTTAGCTCACTTCAACACACAACTCCTAAAATTTCTCTTGTCACCCCTTACCAATCATGCTGATGTGGAGCCAAGTATCGTGCTTACACGTAGGTATGTCCTCCATACAACCGAAGACGGAACCATTATATAATATAATAATGATATAAAAACTAAAGAAATAAAGTAGGAGAAAGCTTTTCAACTTTGCATGCAAAATGGTAGAGCTGATCCCCACAAGTAGGACCATTTAAACTTCTTTTCTTACTCACACAGTCCGTAGGTCTAAGCCTCAGTCTTCTCAACAACAGGAACCTCTGCTGGCGCTTCCACTGCCTCAGCGGGTTTGTTCTCTTCCTCTGTGGTTGCTGCTGCTTCTGTTTCAGTTGTTGTTTTGATCTCCTCTGCTTTTGGCTCTTCTTTCACTTCTTCAGTTTTCTCTTCTGCTGACTTCTCTTCCTCGGGCTTGGCTTCCTCTGTCTCCTTCGTCACTGCCTCCTCGGTCCCAACTTCAACTGGAACTTGGGTTTCTGGAGCATATGGGGTTTCTTCTGTAGCTGTTGTTTCTGCTGGTGCTTCGGTGGTTTCCTCCTTTGGTTGTTCGGTAGTTGATTCTGGGGCAGGAACCTCAGCGGCTGGTTCTTCTGGAGCAGGAACCTCAACAACTGGCTCTTCTGTGGCAGGAACCTCAGCGGCTGGTTGTTCCGGGGTTGTTTCCTGGGTCTTGGTTACCTCTGTTGCTTCAGTTTGTTGCACTGTGGCCGGTGCTTGCTGTGCAACCTGTAACATTATCTAACTTTATTTAACAAACTCTAGTGCCAAGCTTAACAAAGGTGGATTGTAAACAGGAGAAACCAATTTTAAAGTTGATGGAAGAGACCCAGGTGAAAGATCACATAATCAACCCTGTAACTTGTTATAAGATAAATGTAAATCGTTAATACTAGCTTATAAAGTTAGATGTCAACTTGGTGATAGAATTAATATTTTATTTTCCTTTTATTTTAATGTAGATGTTCAACTTGGTTTCGAGTGTGCTGACTAGCTTCGGCAATTAGTTGGGTTATGTTAGTTTGAGCTTTGAAGAACTTAATACTACTTAGCCAAAAAAAAAAAAAAAAAAAGCTTACATAATAAGTTGATTGATGATGTTGGTTCGATGATACATACAACTGTGATCTTTAAACCAGAATAAAAAACGAGGTCCACGAACTGTCGATCGCAATCCAATCTCACATATCAATGAATATTTCAAAGATATTAACCAACGGGAAAACGGTTCGTGATTTATATCAAAACAAATCAATGTTAGAAAAAAGCTATATAGCACGCTGATCTCTTCAAATCTCGTGTAGTTTAAGTGGTCGATCGCAGTGACGATTTGTGGATATGGATTGTATATATCGATGATTATCAAACACCGGAGCAACAAAAACAAAACTAGATCGGGAAAAACCAAAATGAAATTAAATTGAATGTGCTTTATGTGAAGACTAGCTACTGGTTACCATCGCAAATGCAACGTGTGTGTGTATATATATACATATATATAACTTTAGATCGCACCTTTGCACGTAATAAAAAACCAAACTGATTCTTTGATCGATATATAATGAATAACAAGGAGAAAAGAAAGTGAAGAACGGTTATTATTTTGTGTTGCCAAAGTTTTGATTTTCATCGTGTGCATGTAGGAACCGTATAAACTACTACTAAACACGTGGCACATAAAGGAATTAATGTACAAAACCAGAGGCTAAAAACAACTAAACTGTGTCTTTGAATTACCTCAACACTGGCCATTTGGAAAGGAGTGAGGGATTAGAAAAAAGCTGAAAGCTAAAGTTTGGAGGGTGTGTAAACAAGAGAGGAAGGCAGAGAGAAAGAGTGATTTTGATTGCGGAGTGAGGTGATCAAAGTGAGAGAGGTTTATATAGAGGTGCAGAGTGATGAAGTGCAGGAGGAATTCCAAAGAGAGAAAGAGTGTGTGGAGTGTGTTTGTGTGCGGTGTGATAAGTTGGAAGAATCTTTTTCAAAGAGATGGCTCATGTCGCTGACAGAAAATAAAAGACACTACTAGTATGCCCAGTTGTCAATGTTTCTCCTTTTCATTTTTTATCTATCTCTGCAAAATAACATAAAAAAATATGACTCACAACTTGCCATACAATTCAATTATTTGGGGTACGACAGTGATTCAGTGAAACCGTGAAAACATTCCTTTTTATTAGTTCCTTATTATTTTAAAACCAGACTACTTCAAAGAAATCTCGTTTGTATCTCGTTCAGATCACAAAAGATTAACGGGGTGATTACTAAACGGACCCCATTGAACAGGTGGGGTTCTATATGTATCCCTTCAAACCTATATTTTTGTTACATTACTTTTTTCTAATTCATCTTTTTTTTTGGCTATTATTTATATTTTCTCTCCTTTTAGAACAATATAGTAACACCTTAAAATATGTGCTCTACGCCTCTACCCTTTAGAATCGACCCAGCTTTTCCCTAGATCGAAAAGCTAGCCAGCTAGGCACCCAAAATGGAGCAATCAGAAAAAGATAAATAATGGAAAACAAATGAACATAAGATATAATAATTTTGAAAGACAACAACAACACATGAAAGGCCTTTAATTGAAACCGTACCCAATTACTTGAGTTGTGTAGATATTGGCATGGCTAAACACCAACAAAATGGGGCCTTGGTTAATGGATGTTGTACTGATTGAAGTAACGCTGTTTTGTAATTGTAGCACTAATTGAATGTAATTAAATTAGTGGGCACACAGGAACTCTGGCATGTATTATTATGACGTCAAATAAAAGAATGGGAGGGTGTGTTTTTCTTTTCCCCGCTAAGGTCAATTTAAGCTCTATACCAAAATTTAAGGTTTTGAGAGTTTTGGTAAGGAGGAAGCAAAGTTTGAAATGGAAATTTGGAAAAAACGGCCAATGGAAAGGCAACAAAAGGAAATAGGGCGGTGGTCGATGTGGGACCTTACATCAATGGGCATCATTAACTTCCAAAATCCAAGTGGAAATGGGGGACAACAACATAGAAAAGAAGTTAATTGCGTGGACAAGTTTTGGTTCCCTGAATCGGCCCATTTGCTTTGCTGGTCCGAAAGATCACACTTCACATGCCCCACATGCCTATTCTTTCCACCCCTTTCATCTCCCACGTCACCCCTCTCATCCTCTCCCGCAAAAAACTCCAACGTTATTTTGTACCTTCTTTTTACAACGATTGCACTAAATTACCCTTTCTCCTTTATTTATATTTCTTTACACCCTTACACGTCTTATTGCTCCTTTGCGTTAAGACACTATCATGTTGGTCATCACGTTTTATAAAAGAAAACACCGTCGTAGATGGATGTTCGTAATAATGATAATAATGAATGGTCATCAACTCCAATTCTAAACGTAAGCTCTCTCCAATTGCATCTCACTAATTTCCCTTGTTTTAAAATGAGATGAATCATCATCATTCTCACATCGTACCGTGTTTTATAGTATTAAAAGGACACTACCTCAAGTTACGTACTAAACTGTGGAGGAGTGTTGATGACATTTACCAGAAGAAAAGAGAGAAGAAAATGGGTGTAAAGCGAGAATGTTTAGGTGAAAAAGTAGAGGGGCGGTGGAGAGTCCCCACTCTAAAATGGACGCCACAAATCCTCCACCTAAGTTCTTCATTTTATATGATTTGTCAGCCTTCAACCAATACAAATCTGCCACGTGGATGATAACTAGGTTAATGTGTACATGTTTGGCTCTCCTGCCTTTCGTTTCTCTCTCATTATAACATGCGCTGCTCGGCTTTTCCAACCAGGTGACCCAATCATTCCAACGTTGATGATGTGGCCCAAAAAAAGCCCATCTCAGATTCCTCTCCTGCATCGTCATCATCATCATTCTTTTAGCCTAACTATTCCTCACCATGCACTTAATTTATTAACATTTCATTTTCTGTTCATTAATCGTATTTATCTTTATTGGTAAATTATTTCAAAATTCAATGATCATATCAACGAAACATGATGACGTATTATTATTGGGATGGGAAGTGCCGAGGCACATCTCCGTGGTGGCAGTGGAATCTGAAATCGCTGCTTCTGCGGTTTGGTTTGAGACAGCGACTTGTCGATTTCCAATTCCGAATGTTGTGCCCCTTTGTAACCACGGAACAAGAAACTTGCCCAAGTACACGTTCATACACCATCATCACCCTCTTTCTTTCTTTTTTTTTCCTATCATCAATAAATAAATCTCATCCTGCATTATTAGGATACACAATTAATGCCTTTATCCAAGTACTGATACATACACTTCTGTAATACATCATCCTAATTTTTCTTACATGCTATTATTTTCTTCTTTTGTAACATTCAATTCATTGGTTCTATTTTCATCTTAGCAATACTCTTATCACTACAATTATATGAAACTCTAATCCTAAACCATCCACATTTTCAAAATTTCAACAAAACGAAATAGAACAACAAAGGAATTTTTTACATGTATCAAAATTTCAGTATTTAGAACTAGAACAATGGTATCAATTGTAATGGTGAACTTAAAAAAAAAAATTTGACATGTCATATATTTGTTAGAAATATTAAACGTTGATGAAAGTTCATAAATAGAATTTTTTTGATGTAGTATTCATAGTGAAAAACATACATAAAAACACTGTAAAGCTTTTGCAAACTTACATAGTACTAATGATTATTGATTATGATTAATAAAAATACAATCAAGTATATATTATCATCATCTTTATCTTTCTTGTATTCCTTTGCTTATTTTACTTATTTAAGTTGGCTTTACTTTAAGTTCAATATTTCATTAAATTTATTTTACTTCAATATAATTATAATTTATTCTTTAATATTGTTTATTTTTTGAATTTTCAGGTAATGAATTAATCACTTGTTTTGACTAAATTCCTCTAAATATCTAAATGAGGTATTCACCTGAATTGTTGTATTGAACTACTTAAAATTTTACTTTTGTAGAAGATAAATTTTTAATTTTCCAATAATTTAAAGTTGGAAAAGTATATTTTCTAAATTTCGATTATATTTTAAAACAAAATGTAACATTCCTAAAAATTAATGAATTTTAATCAAATTTTAATCAAATTTTATAAAAATAAAAATAAAAAAAGTCTGGGAAGCCCAATGAATTATAAAAACTATATATATAGAATTATATGAATTTATTTATTTAAATAGACGTGTTTGTTATTGATATGTATTTTTTTTGTAATTTTTTTCTATTTTTTTTTTATCTTACTTCTTTTTGTTTTATTTTTCAATTATTCTCATAATTGAACAATTATATTAAAATTTAATAAAAATATATTAAAATGATGATTTTAAAAATAATATTAAAACTAAAAATATTAAATAATTATTTAAAATTATGATGATAATAAATAATTTTATTTATTTTGTCAATAAATAATTAATTTAAAATTATTTTATTATCATAAATAATTACTCATCTAATTAAAAATATCAAATATTTATAAATTAAATATATTTTTTATTTAATAATTATATATAGTTATAATAATTTTGAGTTAGGATAATTAATTAGATTAGTAATTTAAAAAAAATATATTAAAAAAACATTAAAATAAATATTTAATTATTTTCTTGATAATTATAATATAATAATAATATTTGTAACATTTTAAATTTATTATATAATATATTTTTAGATATAATATATCAATATATTAAATTATAGTATTTTAAATTATTTAAATACTTTCATTTTTCAATAATAATAAAATATTTATGTTATCAAATTTTAATTTATTATATTTAATTAAATAATAAGATGAAGTGAGAAAAATAAATAAATGAAGAGAGAGAAAAATAAGAAAGTAAATGAAGAAATAGAGAAAAACATTTATATTATATTAAACAAATTTATTTTTTTCTTATTATTGGATTTTATGTATAAATAGTAAATAAATATACTTTAGTAAATAAATTTAGAAGGATTTTATTTAAGTAATTTTTTTAAATATATTATTTATGATATTAATTTATGTTGAGGCAACTTTCTCAGATAGAAAATATAAATTTTGATGAAAAATATATTATGTTATTTTTAATGGTAACTAATTAATGATTTTCATAACTACTCCACGAATACTTTTAACGTATCAAACAAAACTTAACAATTTGTAAGAATTATAATTGTCAAGATCATAATTACTGAAAAGCATTTATTGTACCATACGCAAAAAAGTCACTTCCGATTCTCCAATATTAATTCCGTGAAATATATCAAGTTTATTATTTTATTTTTTTGGCACTTCAACAACTCGAAAAAGTTTGTTAAATGAATATCACAATCAATCCACCCCACCATTTCTGTTTTATTATTAACTTTGATTTAATATATTTTATGTAAATTTCTAAATAATAAATATATAATGATTTTTTCACTTCAAATTTAAAATGTAAGGAAAAAAAGGCTTTAAAGTCTAAAATGAATATACACCATATCTTAATTAATATTTTTAAGAATACATGAAAATATTATCTACGAATTAATAATTTATAATTTGAAACAATAATATACTGTAAATACGTACAGAAATATAACATATCTTCATGGGAGTTAGTCTCCTACTTTTTTTAATTATTATTAATTAGAAACTTAGGTGGAATTTTCCTGCCAATGGAGACGATTAAAAAACTAATTATGGGTTGTTCCATTAAACAACAATTCCTCTTCTTTGTTTGGGTTTCACACTTGTATTTTATTTAATACGACACAAAACCTTTTAAAAGTACTACGTCGTGTTTATTTGAGAAACTTATAATTCTAAGAGATTTTGGTTTGGAGAAAAACTATCTTTATTATTTCGTTTATCAATCATTTTTATCTCCTACTTAACAACTTTAGAAAGTTACTTAATATACCCGCGATTTTTATATTTTTATTATTCCTCTTAATTTTAATTTAATACATTGTTTATATAAATTGTTTAAATAATATATATATATATATATATAATTATTTTAATTCAAAATTTATAATATAAAAAAATAAAAGACTGGATATTTTAAATAAGTATACACCATTTTTAATTGAATTTTGTAATACATGAAAAATACCATGTATTAATAATTTAAACAATTTTTTTTTAATTCATAATTTGTTTTACATATTTAGGGTTTAATTATATGAATTAATAATGTATTTAATTAATAGATAATTAAGAATAATATAAAATAATATTTTAACATATAAAATTAAACGGACCCTATTAAATAATAAAAAAAGGATTATTCGGTGGTGTCTTCGTTGCACTCTAAAAATTTTCAATGGAAAAAAAAATAAAAATAAAAATTCATTATAATTGAGTTGCTTAATATTATTCCTACCAATGTATAAGTATAATTAAAGTATCACGTCTCCATGACATCAAAGTTAAATTAATTTTTGAACCAAAAGTTATCCTTGTAGATCAAAAGTATCTTTTGTTATTATTTAGGTTGAAAATTATCCTTAAAATATATCAATGATATTACGTTTTGAAACTTTAACTTCGTATAATAACTCGTGATAAAGAACTCTTTAACTATCATACATTGGTATGTTTCAAATCCTTTGCATTGCATCGCAGTTATTCCTTTTAAGTGAACTTTATCTTTTTGCCATTAATTAAGAAAACAACGTTTAAACAAGATAAATTTATTTATTGATCATGTGGATATGTTGGAGTAGGGTTGCTTTTTGTTTGAGGGGATGGCATCAGCTCCATTATGTTCAAAGAAAAATTAAAGGTGAAAAAGAAGAGAGAAAAAAGAACGATTCCGTTTGAATGGCCTTATCCTCGTTTGAAATTGATGAAAAGGTCGAGTTTAAATCAATAAACTTGAGTGCATATATCATTGATATATAATAAAATGAAAACAATCTGCTGTTAAATGTTAATAATACAATACTGTGAAAATGAAGTTTGAAAGCCAAGCCCGGGTTTCATTGTGGAAGTTGCTTTTGGGAGACATGATTCATTTTGGAAAACGACCACTTGGCCACCATCGTTTTCATTCTGATCTTTCTTTTTGGAACTTTCTTTTCTTATTTTTTCGATGATGTATTTGCTTCATCGTTTTGTGTTCCAAAATAGCAACATACCAGGTCCCTTTCTGAAAGTTGGGACAGGGATTGTGTGATGTTCTAATAACTTTGCACTGTCGTGAATGATTGTAATGGATGTTCTATCTAAATTTCTAATAGATTAGACTTACATGCTATGATTCTATGACTCTTAAGACCCCAACCCATAACCAATTAAAGTTGGTTGAATCCTCAACATTCTAGATCACACGTTCTTTTCCAACCACCAACTATTACGTTCTTTTTCATTTAGCACCATTGCATTGCCAGCTGCTACCCCATATTATTGGAATGCATACAAACAAGAAAAAAAACAGACAAAAAAGTGGGTTAGTTTATCAGTTATGAGAGAGTGAATATACGTTTGAGGAAGAAAGAAATACTACATACCATAAATCTTCTGACAAAAAAATAGAAACTGATGGATACATTGTCCAAACTTGCATGCAAAATCTCATGGTTTTTAGGGACAACCTAAACCTAATCTATATGAATGTGATGAATATATGAAACACCACGATTAAGGTTCTGACTTATACTGATGGTCACTTAAGATTCAACATGATGAGCACATCTTTGAGTACAGAGGATGCTAAAGTTCCAAAACAGCATCAGTTTGAGTATATAATGTTGTTGTCCTTTGTACTGTGCATTTCGATGGAGTGAGTACTCAACAACGAACTTACCACAATCCTGCTTCAGCATGCTGCTCAACATTTGGTAACATCCAACATGCTCAATGCTTACGAGTGAAAATTTATTAGTGAAATATTGAAAATTTTCTTAAAATTTCGTAGATTTGGATTAATCGTATTTTGGTCTATATTTTCTTAACCAGTGTGATTTGGATTAATCATATACTGAGGGTGGGTGTGTTTGGACACACGTCCAATATGGACATATACTAAAAATCACATCAGAATTGTACAATTATGCAGAAAGTATAAGTTAGATCTCTTGCATAAAATACAGCAAGATGGAAACAAATATGAGAAGTATACTAAGTTGCTCCTCCTAAACTTTCATGAGTTTAATTTCATTTAATAGTTGAGGTTATTGATAGTACATATAATTTCTCAAAAAAAAAAAAAAAGGTTTTAACATTTTACTTGATACTTGGAGAAAGAAGTGTAGGAGCAACACAATATGATTGGAAGAATAGAGATAAGTTATCAATATTAATGTTTGTTTGTGATGTTGAGGTGTCAATAAATATATATATATATATATATATATATATATATATATATATATAATTAGCTAAAAATTATTTTATTGATCTTATTTGTTTTCTTACATTCTTATTTTCACTCAATATAGATATATATTTTTAATTATCAAAATATTATATTTATTAATAATTTATGTTTATTTTATACATGTAAAGTGTTAATTTTTTTTAACTTTTACATGAGACCTCATTAATTTTTTCTTCTGTGTTGCAGGAATACTGTTGTCGTTTTTAAAGGAAATGGTTGAGCAGGTAACACAGAGATGAATAAAAGAGAGTGGAGGAACATAATTTAGAGGATGATGAGAGGAAGCGCCAAATATTGAGGAAAGTGGTAAAACACAAGGGAAAAATAGTCAATATATAGAATTATTATTCTAAATTCATTTTCTGCGAAAATTTTCGGGGTTTAAATTTTGTTTGGATTCAACGTTTTGAAAGCTTTTTGAAATTAGTTTTCTGAAAATATTTTAAAAGACTGATTTTAAAACGTTTTTTTTTTAAATTTCGAAAAGGTTAATTTAAAAAATGTTCAAAAAATTGATTCCAACAATTTTTCCTGAAAGATTTTCCCAAATATTCAAAGAACTGATGTTTTTGAAAACTTTTCTGAAGCTGAAATCATTTTCCTACAAATCAGGAATTTTCTGGATTGAATTTTTCAAAAATTTTAAAGTGTTATAAAATCAAAATTTTCAAAATATTTTCAGAAATTAATTTCAGAATGTTTTCAAAAAATATAATTTCAGAATATTTTCAAAAATATTTTAGAAAAATTAATTTAAAAAATATTCAAAAGAACTTTTCAAACCTTATTTACATTAGAATAATATTATATTTTAGATTAATATGGGTTACTCGGAAAAAAAAACACCCTCAAACTTGCCCTACACCTGAATTTGGGCCAACCATTTTAATCTTTAAACTCTACTAGGTTGGGCCCAAAAAAATACTTTTATTCATTAAGTTTAGCCTCCGTTTGTTTCGAAGTTGAGTAGAATTAATTTTAATAATGGTAAATAAAATTGTAGTTTACATTTCTGAAAAGATTTAAAAAATTGAATTAATCTTTATATATAAAAAATTAATCTTCATCTCCTTTATTTCCTAATTTTGAATAATTAAAGAATCAAATTCTTTAATTGATTAAATTTGTGAAAGCAAAAGGATAACGTAATTAAATATGATCTGCAGCACAATAAATTATACCAGTATCTAGGGCATTCCAAACCTCTTTATTATTAGGACATTCAATAACTTTTATTTAAATAAATTATCTCGATACCTAAATATTAGTTTTATGTAAAATATATTTCAAAAGCACATATTAGTCTTCAATAGTTAGTTTTGGCATATTTTATATGTCAATTATAATAATGGAAACAAATATAATTTGTAGTATAATATTATCATCCTTGCATCCAAATATTTGATATGTCATTAATGTACATAAATGTAATATAAAATTTTATTTGATTAAAAATATAAGTATATTTTCTATTAGAACTATAAATATTTTGTTCTATTAAAATATAAATGATTTCATTATTGTCATTTAATTTTGATAAAACTTAACATGATATATGAGTATATTATAAAGGTTGAACCAGTGAAAAACACATTTCATTGAAAGTGAATGATAATCTGATAATTTATATTAGTTAATTTTATCATTTTGTATAACTCTAAAATTATTTTGATCTTATATAGTTAACATTTTTGAGAAATTATTTGATGATTTAAAAACACTACCTTTCAATTATTAAATTAATTTCAATATGTTATGTTTTAAATTTTCAATTTATACAAAAATAACAATAACATTTAATCATGTTTTATGCTGATTAACATAGAGTATGTGATATAAAAACACCTAATATTTTTTTAATGTTACAGGACTTGGTGTGGAGATACCTAGCTTTGATGTTAAAGCATGGATCAACTTGACCCCATTTCATATCCTCAAATGTTCTTAAACCTTGTCTTTGGTTTTAAGCATGTTTTTTCGTCCTCTCTATACAATAAATTTTCTCTATCTTTTGGTGAGAAGATGCCGAATTGATGTGCTTTATTTTCTTATTTGGCCATGTTGAAAACTTGAGATTGTTCCATCTTCTATGGCAACCTTCTCTTTCACTGGCCCCATTAAATGCAAAAGAATTACCTCGTTTTCCCAACTTTCCTTTTCTTCTGACTATAATAACTGTAATGTTTCCATTCCTAGAAAGCTAACAAGAAAAATTCGTGCACATGCCAATTTTTATTCTTCATTTCCGTACCATTCTTCATGGCATGGGAGCTTGCATTCTGAGAAGCAGAGAGGCTTGTCCCTGATTGCCTTTGCTGCTGAGAACTCAGACTCAGAAGGGGAAGATAACCAGGCCCTGGAAAGAGTAATGAAATTGTACTCTGCCTTCAGGAACAAAACAACACACGAATTATCTGAAGATGAACGCCAACGTGTGAGCAATTTCATCTCATTCTTCGAAGCCTTCCAAGGAAGAACGGTATCTTTTCCTCCCTGTTTAGGTGGGCTTAATTTCCATGTCAAGGTGGGAAAAAATCAGTGTTTTGATAAGCATTTTATGGAAATTATACGAGTTATTTTCTGCTCATTTTCGTGTGTTATATCCATACCATTCAAAACAAAGCAAGTATAAGTCTCATAAATATACAAAAGTTAACATACTGATTACATCTAGATTTATGATCCAACAAGTGTAAAACTTCTAACTAGTGAGTATGTATCATCATGAGTACGTAACATGTTCAGTCTAGAATAGTGCTTAACCATGTTAAATATGTAATCCGTATTGTCTTGTGGTGATCCCCTTTTTGTGTTGCAGCAAGTGTTGGAATTTTTTTCTTATCTGACAACTCTATTTGGAAACAACATTCAAATTATCCTGAAACCGACTCCGCATGACGGCGTAAGTGTCGGTCTCCAATGGAAATTTGGTAAGCTTGCTTGATCTCTTCTGCTCTCCATGATCATAACAAGGAAAGTTATGCTTCCTATGAATCACTCGTGTCAGAAACTATTCTTACATAATTTAAAATTGCAGAATGGAACAAGATACACTTTCCCCTTTGGAACGGTTTCAGCTTAGACATAAGCCATACTTGCTACGGAAAGGCAGTAATAAGGTTTGTTTAATCTTGGACCATAAACTCAGATAGGGAAGAATAAGATACTGAACTTAATAATTAAAATTTCTATTAGTTGATGTCATCATTTATGTCTGATTCAGGAATATTGACATGCTTATAGAACCACTACGCCACCTGAAACCTTTCGGATTGGTAAGGAACATCGAGTTTTTTTTACCCTTTTGGTGTAAAAATAGCCTTACCCTTTTGGTTTCTCTTATGCAGAGAACGAAAGCAGGTCTTAGAGAATGCATGGAGAAGATAGGCTCATTTATGGTGTTAGGTTCAAGGATTACGGCTAAACGAATTTTATCCCTGGTGCTGGCCGTGTTGTCCCTATCTGCTTTCTTATTGTTCATGAAACTAGCTTCATAGAAGACCGTGTCATACATAAATGATGTCATGGTCAACTTTAGAGACAAAAAGTAACAGTTTGGCTTTAACAACGAAACCGTCTACACAAGATTCGGATCTCTTCTATTCTTTCTTTGATGTTACAGCATTAGAAAGACAAACAATTAACAATTGTTTGCATAAAGTCCATTAAACTCGTGTCTTTTTTTCTAGTAAAATAAGAGAAAATAATAAAAGATTTAGATCCTTTTATTGGTCCATCAAGGACAAATGATATTGCAATAATGTTCATGTACTTCTTCATGTTGATCCCACTCTGGATCATTGGTGAAATATTTGTTGTTACTAAAACAGCAATATGCATCAAATGTAATGGCATATATAAACTTTTAGCCATTGAAATTTTTTAAAAATTTAAGTTAGAGATTAGATAAAAAGAAATTGAGAGTGGTTGCAGAATTTGGAATCAATTATTATATTATTAAATGAAGTTGTTTAATGATTGTTTGATACAACTTGTCAATTAATTTTGTTTCCATATATATATATATATATATATATATATATATATATATATATATATATATATATATATATATAGAGAGAGAGAGAGAGAGAGAGAGAGAAAGAGAGTTTGCTCTTTAACAAGAGTTTATATCTTTTTGTGCCCAATTTTAATCATTATCTTACCTTCCAAAGTACATCCTTCAGCTTAAGGTCCCTTGGAGGAAATGGTCAATTTTCCACATGACATTTTTAACACATTAAAATGAAAAACAAACATGTTAATTAATGATAAATTAGTAATATCATTTTACACTTTCAATAAATACATTAATTTTATCTACTTGTAAATATATTAATGTTGATGTAATATATTTAAAGATAAATTTAAATGAAAAATAATATTTTATTCAAAACAAAGAATATGTTGAATTGTAAAGAAAGAAAATGTTAAAAAAAAAGAAAAAAATTTAGCAAGATATATAATTTAAAAGAGACAAAAAGGTAAAAAGAAGTAGTTATGTAAAAATAATAGTTATAGTTATGTAAAATAATAATAATTAAAATTATAGTTATTTTATAATAACAAGAATATAAAGAATAACTGAAGCCAATTAGCATATTAAATTATTATAACAAAAACACAATGAATGAGAGAATAACGCATGAAAAGTTTTTTTAAAATTTAAGGTATATCAATGTAATTAAGTTTTTTTTAACGTATATAAACGTAAAATTAGACAGATATATTTAATACAAACTCAGACCTTACTAATTAATATTTTTTTTATAAAAATTATTTTTTCCTTGTTACATCTTACTTATCAATATAACGTTACAGTAGAACTAGTTTTTATTGATGCATAAAAGAATACAGTCATAATTATGTAATTAATTTTAAAAAATAAAAATTACACTCATAATGTATATTAGTTATCTCCTTCGTTGATGTTGTACATATAAAAATTTCAATCATAAATTTTTAACATTCAAAATACATATAAAAATGAAACATGTCGTAATATTTGTTTTTATCAACAACATGTATAAATTTAGAATTGAAAAGAAAAGAAATATGTTTGATTTTTTTTTCACTTTTAAAAAAAGAAATCAAAATAATATTATATTAATAAATTTATATTGAAAAATAAATTTGACTTGTTATGAATGAATTTTTATGATTTTCTTACCAGTGTACCAGGTTTTTAAATAGATTTAACTGCAAGCTGATTCTTTTAATACAAACAGACCGAACACTGAATTAGTTCATTGATTTTTATTTTTATTTTTAAATTAAAACGAACATCAAACCAATAAAAAAAGAGTCTAACATAAAAATGAAACACAACAAAAAACAAATTGTAAGTCTAGATAGAGTCTAGATGGAGTCAAACGAAAAAGGTCGGAGAGACCAAGTTTCATATGCTTTAAAATTTAAATTCCAAACCTTATAATTTATCGAACGAGTTTAGCGCCAACCTTTGAATTTAACGACTTAGCTCATCCCCATTGACTAACCCTTTTGAGATTTCTATATTGCTCACTATTTTGACATTTATAGTATTTGTATGTAAACAAGTTTGTGCATCGTACTAAGCGTTTTATTCAATTTTTTTTTTCTTTTTTAATTTCATAGCCCTGCAAATTGTAGTCTACGTTAGATTTCTGTACACGTTAAAGATGAAGGGAAAGGCTTCCTCGAATCATGGTCTCCGTGGAAGCAAGTGCTAGAAGAGAGTGACATTCACGATCTTTCACGCTCTTTCTTACCATATTTTGTCGTTGAAAGTTCCTGTCTTTCGGATCACCACATGACCGTTTCGTTCTCTGTTATTTTCCCAAATAAAATATTAAAAAAAAAAACACTCTCTCTCTCTCTCTTGTTTGCATTCTTGGCGTCTTTTCTTGCTGCGAGAGCGTTTTTACTTTGTGGGATTCTTTGACCCATTTCTTTCTTTCCTCTCGGAGACTCCTTTTCTCTTTCGTTTTCTGAGCCCAAGGTAGCCTTTTTCTTTTGCCATCCTCGTTGTGTGGGAGATTCTACCAAGTGGGTGTTTTCTGGCCCTTCTCTTTGCGCGCGTGTGTGTGTTTGTCTTTTTATCTGCGTTGATGGGTTGTTGATGTCTCTGGCCATTGAGAAAGACATGGGTTTGGATGACCAAGTGAAAGACAATGGGGGTGATGATGCCTCTCGGGTGCACGCGGGAAAAACCGGTGCTGAACATGAAGAAAGTGCGGATGAAGGGGGAGGGAACCTCGGCAGATACAGGAGTGAGAGTTCCATTGCTGCTACCGAGGATGAAGAGGATGATGAGGAGAGGAAGATTGAATTGGGTCCTCAGTGCACTTTGAAGGAACAACTCGAGAAGGATAAGGTTGCCTTTGCTTTCTTTCTCATCTTTTTCTTTATTTGCCCTGCGGAAAAATGTATAAATTTCTGAACCACTCTCTCATTTGTGTGTGTTGGTTTCCGTTTGAGATGGTATAGGATGATGAGAGCTTGAGGAGGTGGAAGGAGCAGCTTCTTGGAAGTGTGGACATAAGTTCTGTTGGAGGTAATTGCGTGTAGAATTGGCTTCCATGTATTCAGTTTTTGTTTGTTCATATTTCTTATCGTACACATGTTGAATCGTAGTCGTACAACCCAAGAAATGTTCCATTCTTGGGACTTGGATATCTCATTTGAGAGAAGAAACATCCGTGTCCTCTTTTGGAGACTTGGATATCTCATTCCTTCATTTCAGAACTGTTATAATTATTTGGTAATTCAAATGTGTCAATTTAAAATCCTAATATTGTTGTGTTATTTTAATGGGTTACATGCATATAAAGCTATAAAAAATGAATTGGGAATATTCGGAACATGATCTCATTTTGTGAAATCCAACGAACAATTTAATCAGTATATGGTTCAATTCTTCCCTGCCTTGTAACTTGCCCTAATGAAATCCTTTCCCCGTAGACCATTTCATCACCTAACTTATGTACTGTGAATAATTCAGAAACTCTGGAGCCAAACGTGAAGATCCTTAGTCTTGCAATTAAGTCTGCTGATAGACCTGACATTGTTCTTGCAATACCAGAGGATGGAAATCCCAAGGGTTTGTGGTTTACTTTGAAAGAGGGTAGTCGTTACAGCCTCACATTCAGTTTCCAGGTCGAGAATAACATCGTTTCAGGTCTCAAATACACCAACACTGTGTGGAAAACTGGTCTCAAAGGTAAGACTGACTCCCAATCAAATTTTGTGAAACAGATGTTTTGTCCATAACCTTATCTCATTGTTAAGCCTTGTACAGTTGACAGCACTAAAGAAATGCTTGGAACCTTCAGCCCCCAAGCAGAGGTTTATACACACGAGATGCCTGAAGAGACAACACCATCTGGGATGTTTGCTAGAGGAGCATATACAGCAAAGAGTAAGGTAATATGAATATGTCATGATGTGATTCTTTAACATTTTCTGACACGCTTTTAAACATATTTTCTACTGTTAACTGAAATTTATTGAATTCACAAATGTTCATGGCTATTAATCCTCTTACTGCTTCCATATTGCCATCATGACATTAGTATTTTGGACATCAAGTGTAGATAGTATGGATACATCAGCCCACCAATAAATGTTCTAATAAATTTGATGCCAGACTTCATGTGCATACCTTCAACCACTCATTTATTTCTTGCAGAAACTTGTGATGAAGTCTTAAACATATGGATTAATGCAATGTAAATAACTTCCTACTTTGTTTATCGTTTTTTCAGTTTGTTGATGATGACAACAAGTGCTACTTAGAGATCAACTACACTTTTGATATTCGAAAGGAATGGCAGTAGGAGTGACATGTTCAATCCTAAATCATTGTTATTTATGCTGAAATCTCCTTCAGTGTTTACCTGCTTCTTTTTCATTGTTTAATTATTTCTAATCCTGTCTGAGATGGTAATTTGAACAATGATGAGAGGATTTGGGAGATGAAATTGGTATTCATTTGATAGATAGTTTTGTCAATAAAATTGAGTTTTGCCTGTTGGTACACACAACTATGCTCCTTGTTTCTTCTCAGGGTAGCAATGTAAGTAATAAATACATATTTTTAATTTTAATTTGATATCCACTCTATGAACTAGTGGAAATTGTTAAGGTGAGCACGGGATGAACTTTTTCAAAAATAAATATTCTTATGATATGGTTCTTTAACAAAAAAATAAATCATAAGCTATTTTATGTGTTATATCAGGAAATATTAAACTCTTTTCAATTAACTCAAAATTTTAAATTATTCTTTTGTGAAAAAAATAAAAATAAAATGTAAGGCACGCAATGTTTTAAGCTCGTTTTCTTTTGTCCAAATTTTTGTTGCCTTTTTTTTTTTAAAAAAACGAACAAAATTTCGTACTAATTTTGTCTCGGGCTCAATCGATACTTCGGATTTTGGTCAAACGCGTTGATGTACCTGCGAACCTATTAATCAGTTGTATATACTACACTAATTTTTTTTTTTAAATTAGATTGTACGTGACTTTTTTTTTTATTTCACTGATAAAAAAATACAATATTATGTTTTTAATAATTATCAGTTTCTAATGGTTCAAAATTATTTTTTATCATTAAAAGTTGAAATAAGTTTGTTTTTATCACTCAAATTCTAAATTAATATCTTTCGTAATATGAAAATTGTTTGTTTGTCATTTTATCCAAATGTTTTATATTTACACATTATCAAAATAAATGTCTTAAAAGTAAAATAAAACATTCAATTCAATATTTAATGTTAAGAATGTAATATTGAAGGAAATGACAAATGATTAGTTTTATCATGATTTCTTTAGCGAAGTTTTTAACCGTGTTTGAGACAAACACGTTAAAAATAAAAGGGTGAATTTGAATAAGTGCGAGTTAAAGTAAAAATAAAGTGTTTAATAAAATATAGAAAGAGAGAGATAATTAAATTAATCAAATTAAATAAAAAATAAGAATAACTAATGAAATGAGTAGCTTTTCATTTTTGTTCTTTTGTGATTACACCCACTTTTTTGTTGTTTTTCATATTTATTACTAAAGAAGTAGAGGAAGAAGAAGCATGTTAAAAGCATCTTCATCCTCCACGTGCTAAGCGAGTTCTAACGTTGTCCACTTATTTAATTCGTGATCACGGTTACTCTATTTGAATGCATAATACAGATATGTTTTAGAGGTAACTCTTCTGGTTCAAACTAGTACCTGATTTGTAGCAATCACACAATGTTTACTTACTTTTGCAGATGCTTCGCCATGGTAGTGACCTCCCTTACCTTTCTTCCTCTTCCAACAACCACACCAACGTCATCGTTGCCCCATTCACGTTCTTTTTCACCACTAGAGTAAAGCGGTTTAGAGTTTCCTTCTTTTCCTTTCAAATACACTTTTATAACCATCCAATTAATGGGTTTCATCAAACGTTAATTCTACCATGCCTCAACAGAAAATCACATCCACACGTAAGATTTCAAAACTCATCACACCATTCCTCTTTCTGTTTCACAATTTATTTGCCATGTATTAAACTTTTAAAACATTCGTCCCAAAATAAAAACAATGATTCTAAATGGTTGCTTACATCGTTTAATGGGTACAGTAACAATCATAACTAGGGTTAAACAAAATACACTCCAAAGTGGTCTTGTTTTTTTTTAGTAAGGCGACAATTTGTGAATAAAATCCATGCTGGCAGGGTGAAGTGGTTACTTGTCTTTGTTGTAGAAGCATCGTGTATATATATATATATATATATATATATATATATATATATATAAAACTGTGTTTGTGTGTGAGAGAGAGAAAGAGAGAGTGTGGAGGAGGAACCGAGGAAGAGAGATGGAGGGAGAGATAAACAATTTCATTATGGTATGGAGCATAGCTGCAGCAACAATGTGTTACTGTCAGAGAGTTGGGAAGCTTATCCCAGAAGGCGCATCGAGACTCGTAGCCATTATCCCTGCCGTAGTGGTCCTTCTTCTCCTTCCTCTAAGGCTCATATCAGTTCACCTTGGAGGAGCCACTTCTTTCTTCCTAGGATGGCTTTCAACCTTCAAGCTCCTTCTCTTTGCCTTCGGGAAGGGCCCCTTATCCTCCAACCCTCCCCTCTCTCTCCCTCACTTCGTCTCCATCGGATGCCTCCCCATCAAGTTCCAACGCAACACCACCACTTCTTCAAAAACCCAAACCCCCAAATCGCCCTTCAATTACGCTTCAACAGCAATGATCGTCCTCTTCGCCCTCTTAATCCCCCTCTACGGAAAGAAAGACTATCTTCACCCCAAGTTCGTTCTTTTCTTGTACGGCCTCCACATGTACATAGGCTTGGAGTTCATCTTCGGCACCATCTCCATCACCACCCGGAAACTCCTCGGCGTTGAGCTGGAACCGCAGTTCGACAAGCCCTACCTCTCCACTTCGCTGCAAGATTTCTGGGGGAAGCGGTGGAACATCGTGGTCAACCGTGTTCTGCATCCAACCGTATACGATCCCGTCGCGACTCTCGCTGGCCGTATCATTGGCCGAAAGTGGGCCCCACTCCCCGCAATTCTCGCTTCATTTGCCGTGTCCGGTCTGATGCACGAGCTGGTCTTCTACTACATCAAGCGCGAGACACGCACGTGGGAGGCTTGGGAGCCCTCGTGGGACGCCACGTGTTTCTTTCTCCTTCATGGAGCGTGTGTGGCTGTGGAGGTTGCGCTGAAAAAGGGTCTGAAAGCGAAGAAATGGCGGCTCCCTAGGGTGGTGTCGTGGCTGCTATCGTCGGTGTTTCTGCTGTACACCGCGATTCTGATGTTTCTACCTGCTTTAGTGAGGTGTCATGTTTATGAGAAAGCAACCAGAGAGTTGACCGCGTTGACCCAGTTTCTGAAGGATGTACGGTGTTTCGGGGTTCACGCGTTTAGCTAATGTAACCACCGTCACATGAAACCATCTATACTCTGGAAAGTTCACATTTTTAAATAAATGAAATAAACAAATTTCTTTCAAGCACTATCTATCAATCTCAATGTTGGAGCTCCATCTCATGTTTCATGCTAAATTTTTTTTTTCTCAGTTAATAAAATCAGAAAAATCTTTGTCCTTGTTTCTAAATTCTCGTATGGTTTCTAAAACCAGAATAATATTAGTTGTTTAGGAAAGAAAGTCAGAGGTGGTTTCCAATTCCAACTCTCTTTCTGTCGTCAAGATCACTCGTATCCATGGAAGTTGGGACAAAGATAAGTAAAAAGTTTAGATATGATGTGAAATAAATCAAATTAAGAAATAATACTGTTGAATGAATTTTCGAGAGGATGAAATTCAAAATCCTCTGTAGGTATATCTACCTATGTACACATCACATAGGACCACCTACTAAATGGAGATAAGAATGTAACAATTTTTCAAAATTTAAATTATTACAGTATTTGTTTATTTTTGTTAAAAAAATTGCGACACAATAATATAACATTATTTTTATTTGTTTACTGTATTATATACTATATATATAGTCACTGTTTATTTAATAGATACAAAAATTTATTATTCTCAAATTTATCATTTTATACTTTAACATAGTTTTCTTTTTTCTAAAAAAATTAAAATTGACACGAACAAACTTATTCGTCAAATATTTATCCAAATAAACTTTTTTTTTAAGTTAGAATTTGGTTTCAAAAATCGATTGCGCAATGTCATTTTCCATTATTATTAATAAATGATATTGAGAAAAATATTTAAAATATTTTTAATTATATTAAAAAATTATAATAATATATCATATTAATTAATGAAGTAGTTATTATTAGTTTCCATTAAACTTAAAAATGATTATTATTGATTTAATAAATTAAAATGAAATTTAAATTATTGATAAATTTATTTAATAATGATATTAATAATTAACTAATTAAATCATTTCATATATATTAAAATATGACTCAACTTAACTACTATTATTAATTTTAATAAAAAATTTACTATTAATTCAAAAGGTATTATTTATGGATATAAGAAAATAACACATTATATGATATTAGTATTAATTTTGACATTAAAATACAGATAATAAAATAGTAAATATGTTATTAAATAATTTAATTTAATTTTAAATTACTAATATGAATTTAGTAATAATAATAGTATTAATATTAAGAAAATAATTATATAAAATTGAAAATTTACAATTAATTTATAATGTTCATAAAATTTTCTAATAACTTTTAATTAATAATAATAATAGTAATAATAATAATAATAATAATAATAATAATAATACATTGCAAAAAATTTTGAAATTACTAATTTAATAATTCAGATATACCATTAAATTTTTATTAATATTTTAAATTAAAAAATAAAATTAATATTTTTATTTAAATAAACTTAAATTATTAAGATTAATAAATTTTATTATAAAGGAATTGAAGTTTATATTATTCAGAATCATTATTTCAATATAAAAATAAATGAATAACTATAAAATATATATTAAATATATTAACTTGTTATTATAAGATTTTAACATAAATGTAAATATAAATAAAAAAATACATTTGTTATTTTATCAAATGGCATAAAGAAAATGAATTAAAATCAGAGTCTGATGGTTTTTTTATATAACAATAATTTAGTTTTCTGGTCCACTAATTTCAGTGTGAATGTTGTTAGTCCTTTTCACTTCCAGTTAGAATCAAACACGAATAATTAAATTATTTATTTTACAAAAATATTTAATTTTTATATGTTTAAAACCTTAATTTGAAATTCTTATAATTGTATATTTAAATTTTAGTGGATATGTTAAATAAGGGAGATGTGTATTACTTTATTAAAAACATAAAGGAAACTAGTGTAATTTATTTATTGAAAAGAATAAGGAGTGTGAAGCATAGCATAGGTATCAATTTGAAAGAGGTGTGTCTAGTTTAGCTTTACCTCAGTGCAATTTACCCTTTTTCTTTTTGTTATATTGATATATGATTTTTTTTTTCTCTATCTTATTTGCTCTATTGTTTATTTTTAAGAAAATACTTGTATACGTAAATCGTTCTAAAATATGCATAAAAATGAATAGAATGACTAAAAAGGAGGACAGTGATGAGATAGATGGTTGTGGAAACCAAGAGAACCATGAGCTGCCACATTCATTCATGAGTAAATGTGGTGTTTAATTGCAAGGTCAGCCATGCAATTTAATGCTTCCACACTACCGATGCCTTGTGGGGATCTTAATTAGTTCTGTATTCCCACCAATCTTTATACAAGGTGGAGTGGCATAGCTAGCTATCATATATACATTACTCAAAACACATCTTGTGAATGCAAAAATATCCGGGTTAGGTTCACATGGAGACCAAGAAGCTCAGAATAGCACTCCAAGTCCAAGTGCTGTTGGTGATTGTCATGATGATGGCTTCGCCTATCATGAGTTGTCCACCCACAGATGGAAAGGGCTGCAAAGACTGCATTGTAAACCAGATGAAAAACGCTTGTCCATACTGCACTACAATACTACGCTGCATGGCTCGCTGCTTGTGGGATGGCAGTTCAAGGCCCAATTGCATCAAGAAATGCAACAGCAACGACGCTTACCCAACACTCTCAGACTGCAAGAGATGCATGTCCAAGTGCAGGTGCAGCTGTGTCAACTAGCACACCTCCCCCACCAAAATGATCACACTATCTATCATCTAAGTTACTTGTTTTGGCTCCTTAACTGTGTTTTTAAATATGTACTAGTTAAAAAGTCCAAGTATCTTGAACTTGTTCTGAATTTGCTATCATCTAAATTACTTGTTCTTCTGGCTCCTCCACTATGTTTTTTACTGTATATGAGCTATAATTTGCACTTGTTCAGAATATGCCGTCATCGGTTCACTCTAGAAAGTTGAAACTAAACTGCTTTAATTATCTTATACATTTTTTTATTCAAAAATTTTAAGGAAAATAAGGCCTTGATGCTCGTTAGAGCATACTAGGATAACAAACGTCACTGTTCTTACAGAAATATTATTATTTACAAGATCTTCACAGTAGTGGAATTCAAACCAGTTAAATGAATTCATTGTAGTTGATTGAAATTCATCTGATTTGATACAAATTGGAAATAAGTTCCAAACACTTCAAAAATACTTCTGCCTCAAAAGATACACTTGGATTCCATCTACCAACATTCTTTAGTCACCCCATCACCAACACTCCCAGACATACCTTTCATTATCTTAGTTAATTTTTTAATTCATAAAATAGTTTAAGTAAATTTAGTCTAAACTCACTGGAATCGAGACATAATTCAACCCGAAGAGTGCCTGTAAAGATAATTGCGAGAGGTCCTCAAACATACGAAACAGATTCTTACCAATGACACCAAACAACTTATTCTCTTAATTCTTTCATACCATACCAACTTATGCCTTGTATTTCCTATGTTCTACACCAAATGCACAAAGTTTTTAAGGTAGGCATGTGTAACTATAAGGATTATGTATATTATGCTATCAAACAAAAGAGATTATGTTACAAGTACAACACATAAGCGAGTGCGTATGTGCACATACATACATAAATAAAAGGGGTGAATCAAGGTTCACGAAGAAACCTTTGTAGGCAGCGAAAACCGAGGTTTTGAGCGCAAAACCGTTCCATTTCATCACCGCCTCTCTCTCGACAAATACTTTCTTCCATGTCGGCCAAGACGTCGTCCCAATTCTTCATGGACCACCAACATGACTCATCAATCTGGGCCTCCGATACACAGTCCAGTATCTCCTGGAGGCCCACGATCCGACGGGTGACTTTCCTCCGCGCGTCCCTGACCGTCTGATCAATTCCGGGAACGGAGTCCAGCTTCAGCAGCAGGGCCATGAGGGCCTCGTTCATTCTGAGCTTCTCCAGGTGGTTGGTGCGCACGGCGTCCACCGTGTCCTGCCGCTGGATCAGGCGCTGCAGCCGGTCGGCTTCGGCGTCGACAGCGGCGATTTTACGATAGAGGGCGCGGATGCGGTGGGCGCGATAGGCAGATTGGATGGTGGCCGCGGCTGTGGCTGCGGACGGGGATGGTGGTGGAGTGGAATTGGCGTGTGGTGGTGGAGTGTGGACATTGTGGTAGGTGTAGGTGACGGTGGTGGAAGCTGAGTAGGAGGAGAAGGAATCTGGTGTGGAAGAGGGTTTCATGGGAAAAGGGAGATTTGATAGTGGCACATTGCACACAGTGAGTGAGTAAGAAAAAGAATGGAAAATAAGGAAAAATTAAATGAAGTTGAAGGGTGTTGGCGCGTTCGTGTTGTGTGAAATGGATAGATGGTAAAGTTTTGGTTGATGCATGACCCCACTTGCTTTTCTCCTACCTTCACCTCTTCTTTCAGATTCAGGTTTAAATTCAAACCCCCTGGTTACTTACTTTTCGAGGATGGATCGATACCCTCAAATTAATTAATTTAGATCAATGGTCTCAATAAACATTAGATCAAGAAAACACAACTCTTGTTTAAGGTATGAGAATTCCTGTATACTCGGGATTAATTGTAAGTATTTAATGAATTTACGACTCATCGGGGGTTTTGTCTTTTTAATCACTTTCAAAATTCTTGCTTAACCATCAATTGTGTCTACATTAGCTTTTCGTGATCGGTTTGACATCACATCGCACACTTCCTACAAATTTAGATTCTTGCTCATAGCCTACAACTATGCTGCGTGTAGCAGAATAATTTGATTGAATTTCATATATTTTTTTATTTTCATATAATTTTATTCATTATTTATAAGTAATTAATATGAACAATAATTTTTTAAAATTCTTTAAATATTTTTAATTGGCCGATAATATTAAACTCTTGAAAGCCACTACATTGTTTTCTTAAATCATAAAATTAAAAATCAATAAAACCTGTTCTTAATTTTATTTTTTTATATTAAAAAATAAAATAACATAAACAAATAACCTCAGGGATACTAATTAAGTTCTTTAAAAATCAATAAATGGCCATCAATGGCCCGCGGAGGTTACTCTCTGGTGTTCTTAGCATTAACACCCTAACCGAGTCAATCTATACTGTTGTTGAACCAGTTAACAAAAAATTCCAATAATATTTAGATATAATTCGATGTGTTTCTCTTTTCCTTTTTCTTTAATTTTTCAGAATTAGAATAAATATTCATGAGAATATTTAAGACAACGAGGAAATATGTGTTAGACGACGTTTTAGTAGATTAAGTTTTAAAAATCTTAATACACATTTTCCTTTTTGTCAAAAAGATTAACAGAACTTGTTGACTGTTAACTTATTTATTTGTTTAAGTTAAAAAAATGTAACAAACCTTTTCAAAAAATATAATTAAAAAAAAACTAAATTATAAAACTAATTGGTCAACTTCATTAACTTAGTTACCTTAATAAAAAATGAAAATAAATCTTTTTAAAAATTAAATATATATTTTTAAAACTTCTTTAAATTTAATATACCAAGATGCAAAACCATTTAAATGTGCCGTTTAGCCTTCTATAAGTAAAAACCACCAATGTGCATATGCTTCAAAATTAATCACGTACCCTTTTCTTACCTGCACCTGACTCTTCAAATATGACCTAACTAAGTGAACGTGTAGCTAGTAATTGTTTATTTCAGTGCAGGATGAGAGGAGAAAAATATGATCCTCATAAAAGCCAGCTTTTAAAGTCAAGATACTTCATCAAGTGCCGAGTACATTACAGATATAAAAGAAAATAACAACTGTGGGAAGTAGCCCTGTTGCTGATTGTACAAATCCTACCGCAACTGGAAAAGACTATCTGGAAAGCTAATGCCCTCAGGAGGCTGCTGGAACAATCTTGCCCGAGCAGGTACCAAACCCAATCGTGTAATCACTTCCCTGCAAAGCAAGGATTTTATATCTTCTCATAAATATTCAAGTTATACAACTAATAAATATGATATCTTACTATAAAGTATTAAAATAAAAATGATCAAGAACTGCTTCATGAATATAAAATTTTCAACGTAAAAATCAGAAAAGTGACTAACATGCCCAGCTATAAAAAAATAAGTACGGCACGTCATTTTAAACAATCTCAGCAGTCTAATTATAGGTATGCTGTACTCATACTGTCAACCATTCAAAACCCCTACACTCGCAGGATTTTGACTTCAAAGGGAATTGTTCATCCAGTACCCTGCAGAGCCTGATTCACTTTTTCGTGGATCAATATTTGTGACTAGCGATGCTAGTATGTGTATGTTTCTGGGGCTGCATTTGCAACACCCAACCACCCATTTCGAAAGCTCAAACAGGATTTGGAGCAATTTTCAACATATTTAGAAAAATATTCAGAGAAACACAGCCAAAAAATATTCTAGTAGAAGCAACTACGTCGCTTTTGCATTGAATAGAGAATTTATAAAAGTTTCCAAGTATATATCATTTCATTCCAAGTTCGATCTTAATCAAAATCAATTTAACAATCCCAATTCCGCAAATGCTCACCTATTGACTCTTCATTTACAGAATTGTTAAAAAAAATACAACTGTTCAAGAACTTGGTGTCAATATAACATTCTTAAAACCAAGCAGATTAATATCGGAATAAGGAAATGCTTGTAATTAGCACAAGTGAGAACAATGTATACCAATACAGAAGATGGACAAATTGGGGAACTGACATTCTCCCCAAGGAAATATGCCAACAAGTAATTGAAGTCACAGAGCTGCTGCAGTAATTCAGGTCTAGCAGCACAAGTAATAAGACATTTGAGAGAGTAAATTTGCAATGATTTTCTTAGAAGTTTTCCTTATTGGACCCATATGCTACAGTATGATAGAAACCTGATATCTCTAAAGGAAGAAGCTTGCAAGAAATGTTTATAAATAAAAAAATTAATTTATTATTATGGACTCTACGTATATTAGTTGTTTAAAATTGGTCAAAATTATTTATATAAACAAATTTTTCTACAGCTAAACAACTTTTTCCAAGTTTAAACAAAGTTCATAATAAAATTATAGATTTTATAAATAATTATTGCTAGCAACTCCCTCTCAAGATTCTCCGATAGAGTAGGGCAATTCTTCCCCAACTATAGCACTGCAGAATACCAGGGTCTGCCCCTTCCAATGCCCAAAGGCCCGAATCCCCTCACAAATGACAACTTCTCTCCCACTCTCAACCTCCCCTCAAGTTTATATATAGCCAATCTGCCTTAATTCTTCTCCATCACAGACCAATAAACTAACAGATATAAACAACTAACTAACTCTCTTTACTACACAACAGAACAACTGACAAATATTAACTACCAACAGATCTAACAATACTCCCCCCAAAGTTTTGTCTTGTTCTTAAAGTGAAAGCTTATATCAGTTGAACAAGTCTCACCAATTCCAGCTGCTATCCCAAAATGATCCCAACCCATCCTGGTCAGAAACAAACAGGTGAATGCCTACATTTTTCTCTAATGACCTGTTTTCTAAGGCGTCTTTTGCCTTGAAATCTCTCTAATTGTACTAACCCGATGCAACTGAAAATTATCCTTCTCAGAGCTTTCCATGCATGCTTATAGACTCTCCAGGATCAAAATCCCACCAGCTAACTCAGGTACATGTGCATTGGCTTCAAATATTGCTCAAACTGGATCGACCACCAAATACTACTTTTCCTTTATTACAGCACTGCAGAACCTCTTCAAGGGTCTGCACCTCCCAAAGCCTAAAGGTCCTAATATTCTCACAAATGACAAGGTAATCTCTCTCTGAACTCAAAGTTATATACAATCTGCATTGATTCTTCTCAATCTCCACCAAGAGAACTAACATACCAACAATTAACTAAATAACACTATGAACTACTAACAAATATTAAATAAAAGAAACTAACAAAACCAACATAGGCCTAGGTTTGAAAATCATTTAAATTGATTTTTTTTTTTTTTCCTAAAAGCAGGGTATTTCCACAGCCATAAGTCATGAGACTAGTCCCTGAAGCGCAGAGATCATTAAAGCGTGTTTTACCTCTCAACAAAGTCAAAGTCAGGGAATTGGACCCCTGTTACCATGGTTAAAGAATTCCACCTATCTACCAACTGTATTTAACCTTGTTCGTATTTAATTTGAATAGTTAAAAAGTAGATACTGAGAATTGAAAACTAATAAATTTTCTCATGAAAAATTCAAAGGTAACAGCACTTTGGCAAACAGAGGTGTTCAAGATCTTGATTGATTGTAACCTTGCAATATCCAGTTAAGATGACTTCATCTCCATCTTCAAGAAATTTCCGGCTTAACCCATTTATTGACAGCGCATTTTGTCCATTCCAAGTTAACTCTAGCAAGCATCCTCGGGACTCTGACTCCTGCAGTGAAGAGCACATATTTTAACTGAATTAGTTGACCAGTTGAAAGGAACAATGCCCTTGGAAGAGAAAGAAAAAACTGGATTAAAAAGTTAGACTGTGTAAAATATAGAATCTTACAGGACCACTAATTGTCCCAGTTCCAAGGAGATCCCCAGGCCTAAGGTTGCAACCATTGATTGTATGGTGAGCAAGTTGTTGGGTCAATGTCCAATATCTACAAAGAGCTACAATAAGTGAATATATATGTATTGTCTATAACTGCTTAAAAAGTATAATTGTTTCTAAGTGGCAAGGGGCAAGCAATTATCAGATGATGGGAAGATGTAAGACATACTACTTGTGCACAGTGTACCAAGGAGATTATATCACCAATCACACGTCAAACTATGCACAAAATAATACTAACAAGTTCCATGTCATTCTCTTCGTTTAAATCAACAAGGCTATTGCAATTGCCTTCCAATATATGATAGATAGATAGATAGATAGATAGATAGATAGATAGATAGATAGATAGATAGAGAGAGAGAGAGAGAGAGAACTAATTGAATATCTGAGTAATCAATATTAGGTGAAGAGAAATTCCTCACAAGTGCTTTAGATTACTTCGTGTCACCACACCTGAATCTTCATGCCCAGCAGGTTTTATATGAACCTTGAAACAAAAAAAAAGGTGTATGATTAACGTAATAATCCAAAAAAATCAACTGAATATTGTTAGGATTCAACGGCAAGATATGGGACTTGAGTCCCACATTAGAAATATGGATTCTAGGATGGGGTTTATAAGGTTTTGGACTTTCCAACTACAACTGCTAGCTTTTTTTCTAGCTTGTGGCATGGTTCTCCCAAAGTTCTTATCATATATGGTCCAGGAAACAGAATCATAAAGAGAACCTACCTCAAATACCGTAGTACATAAGGACCATGAAGAAATAAAAATAATCTGAGAACAAGTGGATGAAATACCAAGTACATGCATGCCATATGATAAAGGTGCCCTGAAATACCTCAAGGGAAATGTCATAGATTTTGGATACTTTTTCCGTCAAGTATGGAAGTGGAGGAGGATCCTGCATTTAATGGATAGATTAAATAACATGCCATGGTCAATTAGAACTTCATACATGAACAACCAAATTTTAAAGTTCCTATTGATCCAAAAAGAAAGAAACTAGTTACCTGTTTTTGGGCTTCGGAAGCAAAAGGTTCTAATGCTTCCAAGGTCACAATCCAAGGAGATATTGTTGTACCTGTATAATTTTAGTTAGAACCATAAAGGAAGGTTAACTCAAAAACAACTATTAAAGTTAATAGTTTCTATCTAGAGCAAAGGGTACATGCAATCATCCGCGCTGAATATACTGCACAAGTCGAAACGTCAAGCTTTTCTCAATAATACTTAAAAGGACATTAACTTATTAAGTAATTATTTGTAACATCTTACCAAAATTCTTTCCAAGAAAAGGACCAAGAGGAATATATTCCCATGCCTGAATATCTCGGGCTGCCAAATATAATTCATTAAAGCATCAATTGGACAGGACACAGTAACATAAAAAATATTGAATTGGAAAACTACCACTCCAGTCGTTCATTAGAACAAGTCCAAAGATGTGATCATTAGCGTTGTTAATATCCACTGGTTTTCCCAATTCATTTCCAGGTCCAACAATAGTAGCCTGCAAAAAAAAAAGTCTAAAATGAAAAATTATGCATTTTAGTGACTAAATGGCCACAGAAGATATGTGTAAACAACAAGCTAACCATTTCCAACTCAAAGTCTAGCTTTAATGAAGGGCCAAAGTAGGGTGTAGAGCTGCCAGATGGATGAGCTTGACCACTGAAAAGCACAAAGCAGCATGACATTGTGAGAAAGAATGCAGAGCAATTAAATACATAATTTATACAAAAGGAGCTAGAGCCTGGTGCAGTCATAAAATATTTATGTTTTCATAAATACACAGGTAGAGCCATAGGCATGTATTACAAAGGTTCCTATGTTAAGCAACCCAACATTGATCCAATATTTCTTCTTATGTTCGTAACCAGAAGACTTACAAAAACAAAAGATTCAAAAAGCTGCTTAAGCAAGCACACAAAATCGTGACCAGAAAAATTTACAGTTAGGGTCAAAACTTATCACCTTGGCCGAACGATATCTGTTCCGGAAATAACAATAGAAGATGCTCGTCCATGGTAGGCAACAGGCAGCCGATACCTGTGAACATGTTTAACTTTATTTACAGAGAAAAAATTACTCAAGTTTATTTGTAATTCATTTTAAATCAACAGACCAGTTATCTAGAACAGGAGTCTGCGGCCCACGAAATATGAGCCCACAATTTTTAGTGTGATGCAGAGATGTAAAGAAATCAGTATAGTCCCCAACAGCAACAGGGAGAAGCAACTCGACGCTACTCTGAAAATCCAAACACTACAAGCATTAGACAAGTGACAAACTCAGCACAACCATTATAAATCAGGAATGCCAATGTACAATACCAAAGGCACAAGTGCCTTCTGCCTCAATTCCGTGTTGTCCCTCAAGGTTGGCTCAGTTGCTGCATTAAAAAACAGCCCAATTAACATAAGAACCAACCTTTGCAGCTCATGCAAACTTTAATATGCATGCACACCTTAATACGCAGTACAGTGTAAAGAAACAAGAAGCAAAAAACAGAAAACAATTAGGTCTTGTTTTTTACAGTTTTTAACAATGTCTTCTATAATTTGTTTGTCACTTCAGCACATTAGAATGTGTTTGTCTAATGAACACATTTGTGTTTTCCAAAAATTTGTTCTTCGAGAACTTAAATAGAACACTTCAGCAGGAGAATGAGAAAATATCTCCCGTTTAGCTTATCAGTTTTTAAAATCCATGATTTGGAAACAAATTCTAAAACAAAATAGCAAGAAGTATCAAACAAGCCCTTAAACAATTAGACAGAAGCAGGTGAGGCAGCAAGTACCAGATAAAAGCTTTTGAAGAGTGGCACGAGCTTCCTTCCAGGCCGGCCTTCCAAGGGATACATACTTATTTAGATTAGGCTGTCACAAAGATTATCAGTTAGACGAAAGGTTCTCATTTCCCAAACAATTCTCATAGACCACACACACGACACGATATCGTAAAACCTTATATTAAAATAAATAAATACATTGTTGCATTATACAAAAAGATGTAACAGAGAGAATAAAAATGTTCATCCAAATATTAAGGTACATCCCTCCCGTCCTATCAGTTTCACCGGCAAACGAAAAGATTGTGACAAGTCCATAAATTACGACATCTTGCTAAAATCTAAGGTGCAGGCTTCCTTCTTTTTCGGCAAAAAAAAGTTTGAAGTTGGCCAGATTGGCTACTGAATGTTTAGATAGCAGTTAGAGCAACTCCAAAATAGTTTAAGTCCTAAACCAACATTTTTTTTTCTTGCCTCGGGTCTTGAAATTCAGAAATATGCATTGAAATTCCGAAAAACGGATTCCCGATTCGTAACCTCATTACTGCATGTTTGGATTAAAGTTCAGATAACACAAAGGTATCTTCCTCCGCAAGCAAATTTTTTTCCTTTTTTTTTTTATCTGGTATATTAGAATTCGTTATTGTGCATCGAAATTCAGAGAAGAAAAAAAAATATTTCCAGACTTCAATACAGACAGAGCCTTAGTTGGTGGAACAAGTGAAAGGCAGATTGAAGTTGAGAGACTTACCTGAAGGAAGCAATCGGAGTTTCGGAGGAGAGGACCGTCGAAGAGGCCGGCGGAGGCGATTTCGGAGAGGTCAAGGACGTAGTCGCCGATGGCGACGCCGGGGCGAGGAGAGGAAGAGGGGCGAGGCTTGAAGACTCCATAGGGAAGGTTCTGAATTGGGAAGTGAGAATCTGGATGAACCTCAACGAAAGATTGCAGCACAGCCATTGTACGGAAATGGTGATGATGCTATGTCACTGCACTGCTCTGCTTCAGCTAAGGTCAATGTTGGCAACACATAGAAAGGGACACTCAGCCGGGAACAAGAGCGTGTGTGTTTTATAGATAGAAATGCAGATGCTACTACAATAATTAATTTACCGGATCACCTACTCACTCAGTAATTTTTTATTATTATTAATGTATATTTATTATAATTTTAATAAAACTTATAATATTTTTTAAAAAATCTTTAATTAATACTTTTAAGATGGGTTAAGAAGACTTTAAAATAATCACTATTTGATTTAATTTAGAAAAAAATAGTTACTTTGAAATAACAGCTATTTTTTTCTTTAAGATAATTCCGTGATTCATGTCAAAAACTTTATGTTGATAATACTAAAAAAAAAGTTGAAGAAACCATGAATAATTTTGAGTAAACATAACTACAGGATCTTCGTCTAGAAATTAAGATTTTATCTCATTTTTATTAAGTTTTAATTTTTCTATTCTGTCCTATTTCTTATTTATATTATTTTAAAAATAATTATATTTGTAATAAATTAATTTTACTATTTTTATATATTTTTTATACATAAATAAATATTTATAATTTATAATTATTATTAATTAAATATATATTTTAATTTATTACATTTATATTAAAATATATATAAAAAATATTTAATTATTTTTTATTTATACATATATAAAATATTTATATTATTATTATTATAATGTTATATTCAAATATTTAAAATATGATGTTTATTATTTTATTATATTTAAATATTTGATTATATATAAATTAATTTATTTTTAAGTTATTATTTAAAAATATAAAATATATAATTTATAAGAAAATATTTAATAAATTAATTATTATTTAATTAATTTAAAATAATAAAAGTTTAAATTATTAAAATTTTTAATCCTTTATAATATAATTATTTTATTAAGATAAAATCTAATAAAAATTATAAATAAAATAATATCAATCATTATTAAAATTTATGTAAAATATTAGAAAAAAAAATTGACTTTGTTTTTTATCTGAAAAGATTAAAAAACAATTGATGAAAAATTAAAAAAATATACAAAATTAAAAGATAAGAGAAAAAAAGGAGACATTACCTATCTTGGTCCCGTCCTGATTTTTTAAAAGGAAAAAATTCGCAATTTTATGAACATGGATTTAATTCTCATCCTAGTGATGAAATTGTAATAATAAAAAATATATTTTTATTTATCTTGGTTAATATTTTAAAAATTAATTTAGGTTTTTTATGAATAAATTAGGACGGAGGTAATATTATCTGAAATTAATTATGTAGTTAAATTTTTAAAAAATGAGAGTTAATATTTATAATGGATTATTTAGTCATTTTTCGTAAAAAATTTAATTTATTAGAATAAATTTTTAAAAGATTTATTTATTTATTGCCTGAATTTGTTTTAAACATTTTATTGTTTGGTTTACTTAGCATTTTGACTTTTGACTTAAAGGATTTGTTTATGTTGGAGTTAGGGTGTGGTCGTTGAAAATGGGATGACGGGGTTAGGTACGTGCACATTCCTATCCATCTATCTCCATGTCCAAGCTTCCGCACGCCTTAAAATATATATTTTAATTCTTTTAAAATTATATTTTTACTTTTTAATTTTATGACGGGTTAGGTACGTGTAATTCTTTGGGTTCTTTTTTCTACATTTAAAATTATTATTTTGATCCTGCTATGATGTGATTTTTGTTATTTTGTGCTGGAAAAAAATATAGTACTTTTTTGAATTAATAAAAAAAATACTTGTCCATAAATTAATAAGTGTTAATTTTTTTTTATAATTTGTAGATAACTATATTTATTGTTGTTTAAATTTGATTTAACTGACCACATATTTGAGGTCGAATTTTGAAAGTTTGGTCGAAGTAAAGTAGTTTATTTGTAAGGATTTTGATGGTGAGATTAACTTCAAGTGTTATTAAAATGATTAATAAAAAATAACATACCAAATTTATAATAAGAAATATGATTTTTAATTAATAAAAAAATTAGGAATAATTTTTTATACTTCAAAAGTTATTAATTCACGTTGTTAAACCATTGTAACTTATTAAAAAAATCCTCAAAATATTCGGATTAATTACGAAAAATATGTGGATGATAATCTTTACTTTAATGTCAATATATAATAAATATAAATATAATAATGATTTAAAAATATAATCATAATTTACGACATCGTATTAAATATTTTAATTAAAATGCCGTCTAAGATTACAATGTTCAAAATGTTACCATCAAATTAAATATAACATAGATAACTAAATATAAGTATTTGAACCAAATTATTTTTAATTATATATATAAAAAAAATCTCCAACTAGCATCGTTAATACCTAAAATAATGAATCGAATAAGTGAGTTTCTTAGTCCTTGAATTTAACATACGATCCAATAATAACGGTTTAAAATTAAGATAAAACATACAATTCTTAATTATTTTATTATTTTATATATCACTTTTTTTACATGCACATTATTAAACCTCTTTCATTTAGTAAAATTTGATTCTTTTATATTTTTGGTAAACGTATTTAGTGTAACTCTATGTGATCATTTTATGAAAATTCGTAAATAATAATGTGATTGCTCAATTTTAAATTAACTTATCCTTCTTTTCTTTTCATGCACATATTATATATTATTATATTAATAAGGTTCGAATAATTTTATTGACTAAAATGTGTAATCACACACCACCACCTTATCATTAGAAAACAAAAGTGTAGAAATAATTGTTAGTTTTTAAGGGATCTCTTAAAAATTGATAAATTAAACCTTTTTTTTTTAAATAAACTAAAATAGACACACACAAAGCTGATTTGTAATTTTTTTTAATTAAAGTGTTTGATTTATCTTTAAAATTATACTTTTTATGAATTAATAACGGATTGTGTGTATATGAAATTAAATTAAACATAAATTTATCATCTACATAGTTTAATTTAACTTTTATTTGTCATATTAAAAAATGTAAATGCTAGACTTCAAACATTAAATCAAATATGTATTAAGTTAATTATTTTTAACTTGTCTAAAATAAATAATCTGATCATGACTAATTAATTTCCGACATAAAATATAATAATAATAATAATAATAATAATAAATAAATAAATAAATAAAATCGAACATTCGTTTTATGCTGCGTGCAACGTACGTGTGGGTTGGGTTGGAATTCTGCCTTTGGAAGATGAGACAGAAATTTTGAACAGAAATCTGAAGCATAGAACCCTAAGATTCAGTACAGAAAAAGAACCCTAGGAGTCGTGTGTTTCTTGGAATCGGTGAACGTTTTCCCTGGAATTTGTTGTTGAGACGCGGAGAAATGTCGACGGACCTGCAATTGAAATCGAGTTGTAGTGGATGCGGATCAACGACGGATTTGTACGGAAGCAATTGCAAGCACATGACTCTGTGCTTGAGCTGCGGCAAAACTATGGCGGAGAAGCGTGCCAAATGCATCGATTGTGGCGCTATCCTTACTCGCTTGATTCGGGTTTGATTTGTCCTCCCTTACCTTTGCTGTTATTGATTTCGCGTATTCTGACTTCACTATATTCGGCGTAATTGATCATGACGTAGTGAAATCTTTCACCTGGTTGTTTGTGATAGGAATATAATGTTCGTGCAAGTTCTACCAATGACAAGAACTACTTTATTGGAAGGTTCATGACCGGCTTACCAGATTTTTCAAAGAAGAAAAGTGCTGAGAACAAATGGGCTCTGCTGAAGGAGGGACTGCACGGTCGCCAAGTTACTGATACTTTGCGGGTATTGGAATCTATCCCTGCATTATAACTGGCTATTGCTTCGTACATATGACTTCCCTGCATGATATTTAGTTATAAGCAGTGATTTAAAGCACCTATTTTCTCAAAATAAATGCTCACTGGAAACTTAGGAACTCTTCCATTTCGAATACAAGCAAATCTCAACTAGTTCTACCATATTTAATGAGATTATCTCTAAAAATGTCTTCAAGTAATTGAGGTTTTATTTTCATTCACTCTCTTTTACTCCTGATGTCATGATTCAAAGGAGGATAGTCAGGAAAAATGTTTATTTTTAAATGAAGTTATGAGAACAAGGGCTACTTAATAATTTTCTCAGTTAGTGTGAATAATTTTTTTTTATATTCGATACTAGAGGAAGTATGGATTTGAATTCCAAGGCTGGAATTGCCAAGTAGATGGTTATTGGGGAGAAGGGTTCTAAGAATCTGTATTAGTCAAAAAGGAAGGAAGTGGGTAATTACTAGGGAATTGTAATAGATCACGTTTTTTTTACATGAAAAATTTCTTGTTGCATCACACAGGAGAAGTACAAGAACAAGCCTTGGCTCTTGGAGGACGAAACAGGTCAGTCTCAGTACCAGGGTCATCTAGAAGGTTCACAATCGGCTACATATTACCTGCTAATGAAGGAAAGGAAGGAGTTTGTTGCCATTCCTGCTGGTTCTTGGTACGGCTGTTGGGTTAAGGGTTTTGTTTGACTGTGAGAAGAATGCTTTTATGAATTTGTTGTTTGTCTTTTTAGGTACAATTTTAACAAGGTTGCTCAATATAAGCAATTGACATTGGAGGAAGCTGAAGAGAAGATGAAGAATAGAAAGAAAACTGCAGATGGATATCAAAGATGGATGATGAAAGCAGCGAATAATGGCCCAGCTGCATTTGGTGAGCATGGAAAATTTGAAGAGAAGGAAAGCAACACAGGTGGAGGGAAAAGTCGTAAAAAAACTGGTGAGGATGATGAAGGTCATGTTTCTGATAAGGGAGATGAGGATGAAGATGAGGAATCAGATAGGAAGAATAGACTTGGACTTAATAAAAGGGCTGGTGATGATGACGAAGAAGGTCCAAGGGGAGGAGACCATGATCTAGATGATGATGATGTTGAGAAGGGTCAGTATCTTTGTTTCTTTGTTCGTTATGTTTTCTG